GGTGTATTGAAGGCTTCCTCAGAGGCCCTGATGAAATCACCAAAGGAACACTATTTTTGTGTCCTGCCTTAAGGCAGATGTGGCAAGGTCTGGTCAGGTACTAGAGGGAGCATCTTGAGTGAGTCAAGTTCCCTTGACTCTTCAGCCTGAGAATCTGTTGTTATTAGTCTCATGGTCACTGTGAGCTCCGCCTGAGGTATCCTGTGTTCTTCTTGCCAACACTGCTAATTTATCTTTCTGCTGGACTGTCCCATTCTATACCTACAATTAGCATATAGGACCTGTAGATCTTAATGAACCTTCCAAATGCTGGCAAGATAGGCCAGTGCTACTACAGAAGGCTGGTAAAGTGTTATTGTTTTGACTACCAATGTGCAGCTGAGAGATGTGTTGAATCCTAGGTATGCCATATTGAAATTGCTGATGCCTGATGAATATCAGTTAGGTGTTTTAAATTTGACCTGGATAAGTTGGGTATCCTTTCAACCCTGAGGCAGGGGGATTGTTCCACTGCACATTGAATAATGGTCTGTGTATGCACAGTGCCTAGGGAGAGTAGAGGGAAGTGCCTTCTGAGTGCAGGAAGACTGTAGGGCCACGTTTTTGAGCTCAGACACAAGTTTTACTGCAATGCCAATTTCTGCAATTCTGGGATAATTCCATGTCTGGAGTGGCAGCACTCTGTCCCTAAGAGAGCTGTTCCTATCATTCAGACCTCACTAGCCAACCAGGACCTCAAGTTAGACCTGCTAGGCAGACCCAACATCCAGAGTGGGGGAAGGCACTTCTGGTCTGCAATTCGGCAAGCTAGGAGGTCCAGGGGCTGAGGAAGGTTCTGGTGCTCTTGTGTGTTTACCTGTGATCTGTTGCAGGGAGCTGTGAGGAGAGCTGGGTGAGCTCTAATCCAAGAAATGGTGAGCAAGGACAGCTGTCCCCACAAGGGGAGGAGTGGCGGGAGCCTGTATGAGGTTCGCTGGAGTTAGGTGTGCTGATGGGAACCTGTGGCCAAACTGTTTGGTCCCCCGAGGTCCCTGAAACTCCTAGGTGAAAGAGGAACCTCTGAATGACTTAGTTGCACTGTTGAGCTTTGCAGAGCATGAGGAGCTGGAGCTCTTAAGTGGAAACATCCTTGTTGCGGACATAAACATGCAGTGAGCCTCAGCTTCTTTTACTGTCACCATGGAAGGCCAATTTGCTAACTCAGCACCCTAGTTCCTGGATTTTGGGGGTTGGTCACTGCATTGGCGAGATGGCAAGCCTTGAAGTTAGTGATCATATTTACAATTTTTTGTTGTGCATCTCTGATTTTTATTCCCAACTGTCTAACCAAGTCCTGCACTTTCTGTGTTCCCTTATGAGAAGATTGGTGGATCTTGAGCAGACTCTCCCAGATGGTCAGGCAGGATGATTGTACTGTCTGCAGTCCCCCACCACCCGTCTAGACAGAGTCATAGGGAGGGTCTTGATCCAGGTAAGGTCTTCCTTACTATACCCAGCATGTTTGGGTAGATTGGGTGCCTGGGGTCCACCAGTACATGTGCAAAGACTGTATCAGTCTGGAGTGCCACCTGCCAGGTGGTTTTGTCAGCCAGATTGTTGCCCCTGGGGATAGGTCCATCCCCTTTCTGGTGCCCTGGGCAATGGATGATAGCCAGTGTCTTGGGTAACCATAGGGCTTTTAGGAGGGCCAGGATCTTGTCTTTATTTTTGATAGTTTTTCCTTCCACAGTTAGTAGTCCCCTTTCTTTGTATATTGCCCCAGGGTCATGTGCTGTGGCAAGAGCATACTGACTGTCAATATAGACATTAACTCTTCACCCTTGCCCCAGTTCTAATGCCTTAGTTAGGTCTATCAGCTCCGCCCACTGGGCAGACATCCCAGTTAGCATTGGCTCCACCCATATCACTTCCTCTGCAGTGGTGACTGCCACCCCCAATACCTCCAGCCATCTTGTGAGAAGCTGCTGCCGTCAATACCAGGCCACTTCTGCTTGGGCAATGGGGTGTCCTGTAAGTCTGGCCTTACACTATGTGCCTGGGCCAGGATCCTGGAGCAGTTGTGCAGTGGTGCTTCCAGGTCAGGATCAGGCAGTGGAGTAGCTGGATTCAGAGTTGAGGGCACCTGGAAAGTTATTCTGGTGGGGTTAAGCAAGAAAGCCCAACAATGAGTCATTCGGGCATTACTCGGCTATCAGTCGGGGAGGGGGCTTGCTTGGGAACTCCCTCAAGAGCATGGGGTGTTGGTTATGGTGAGACTTTGTCCCAAGATCAGCTTGTCAGCATCCTTGATCAGTTGGGCCACGGTCGCTATTATGCGGAGGCAGGGTGGCCATCTGGCTGCCACAGGATCCAGTTTCTTTGACAGATAGGCTACAGGCTGTTGCCAGGGGCCAAGTGTTTGCATTAGGACTCCCTTGGCTGTCCCTTTGTGTGGTGTGATGCCCTTTTTGGCCTCTAGGGGAATGGGGTACTGACGAACCTTGACTGGGTCTGCCCCCAACTTAATTTCCACATAGTTGGGGGGTGGGGACAATGCATCGCCAGCCCCAATCCCGCTGTTTCGGCCCAGGCTGATGGGAAGTCCCGTAGCCATTTCCCCAGCTGGGTATCAGGCTCAGTGGCTACCTGATGCAGCCTGTACTCTTCAGTCAAATTTCTGGTCACCAGTACAGGAATGGGGTTTCCCTTTTTATTAAGCAATTTAGCTCTTTCATTAGAGAAATATATCTGGGCTTTCATTTTGGTCAGTAAATCATGGCCTAACAAGGGGTATGGGCATTCTGGAATTACCAGGAATAAGTGGTTTACCTGGCCTGTTCCCAAGTCCACAGTTCTTTGGGTAGTCCATGAATAAGGTTTGACTCTGGTGGCACCCTGAAGCCAAGTCTTTTTGTCTGTCATGGGTCCATCAGCCCTCAGTAGCAGAGAGTTCTGAGCTCCCATGTCCACTATTAAGTTAATTGGTCTCCCCTCCACTTTTAGTGTTAACCTGGGCTCGGGGAGGGGGCCAAACCCTGTCTCCCCCTAATCACTGTCCATATCCTGCTGGCTAAGGACTATAGTATTGTCCCTAACTGCCTTTGGGGGGGGGGCATTCTCTGGCCCAGTGCCCTTCCTCTTGACAGTTCGCGCATTGTTTTTTTCCCAGCTGGGGCCTTTGTTACCTCTCGGCTTTGTATCCTCCCTCCTCTCCAGCTGCCAGGCGCCGCAGTCGCCCGCCCGAGGTGCTCTTTCAGTTCTGCAGTAGCAGCCAGCAGCTCACTAGTGAGGTGCCGATTCTTGTGTCGCTCACTTTTGATTTTCTTTTCCTCTTCACTATCCCGTCCGTTATCCACTTTCTCAGCCACCTCTACTAAATCCCTAATGCTTTTTTTCTTCGAGGCGTTCCAGCCACTGTAGCTTTCTCTTGATGTCTGGAGCTGACTGGTTAATAAAGCCAGGGTCATTGCAGTGGCATTTTCCTGGGTCTCAGAATCATAAGGCGTATACCTTCTTAAGGCCTCCTGGAGGTGCTCCAGGAACAATGCTGGGCTTTCATCTGCTCCCTGTCTAACATCTTAGACCCTACTCAAATTTGCAGGCCACCTTGTGGCTGCTTTGAGACCTGCCAGCAGAGTGTGGTGATAGAGCAGGAGGCTTCAGACCTGTTGTAGTCCCACACCGGGCAAATCAGGGGGAAAGCCGCATCTTTGAGAGTCCGGTTAGCTGTGGGCTCTCCAGTAGGGCCTTAGTCTGTATCCAGTCTCTCTCCTCTGTCATGAAGAGGACCTGCAAAAACTGCCTATAGTCATCCCACATGGGAAGGTGGGTGAAGAGAATTGTCTCAAAGAGGCTAATCAGCTCCTTGGGATTTTCAGAGAAGGGTGCCTTTTGGGCTCTCCAGTTGTAAAGATCACTAGTGTCAAAGGGCCAGTAGTAGTGTGATTGATTCCCATCCTGGTTGGGAGGTCCTGCTACCCTAAGAGGAAAGACTGTTGTGCCAGGATCAGGGGTATCTCTCCTACAACTGTGGGTCCCAACAACTGGTCCCTCTCTTGCCCCAGGGGCTGGAGCATTCGGAGCCAGAGGAGGAGGAGCCAGCTGGATTTGCAGGGGGGCTGGTAGTGGGATGGCTGCACCAGGATTGGGGGCAGAAGGGGGGATGGAAAGATCTCTTCCTCTGTGTTGCCTCCTTGAAGGACCTCCGGTTTAGGAGCTGAAGGGGCCTTGGTGGCTAAGTCTTTCTCAGGAGCAGCCAGGACTTTAACCTGTTGGGGCAAGAATGGTTTAATCCAGGAAGGGGGGTCCTCTACCAGGTCCCTCTAGTCCACTATGTAGGGCACTTGGTTGGGGTACCCCACTCATGGTCTGAAGACAGTCTCCTCCACTGCCCCAGTAAGGGCCAGGGCCAGCCGACATTGAGTGCCAGCTCTTTCAACCTACAATAGGTAACAAGTTTAGACTTTTAAATCAGAATCAAAAGATTACAAGCGCTTGTGTTTATATCTCGGTAATGAGTTAAGACTAAGTCCAGAAAAGAAGTTGTCTGTCCCATAGTGTTCGTCATGGTTAGAAACACAAATACAGAGAAACAGACACCAAGGAGACCAAAGGCACAAGAGAAAAGCTTGCACTAACAAGACTGAAAGCAGGGTGTTAAATGGAGTGATGGCTTGCTGCCATGTGGGAGCGACCCACGTGTGCGTCCAAATGCCATCCAGACAAACAGATGTGGGGCTCTCTGTCCCCACTATTGAATGTCTTCCAGCCCCTTGTGATCATGGTTCTCTGGCGTGTCTGCCCTTAACTGTTCCTGACCACAATTACTGACTTAGGTGCGCACGAAACTAAACACAGACAGACAGACAGGGCAGACAAGCAGACACTTACCAGCTGGTCAGAGGCCCTCTGGTCTGGAACCCATGGGGTCATGAGGGTTCCTAGCCAACACACCAAATGTTATGCCCATGTTGCGAATCTCCCAGAGACCACTAGTCACACAAGGGTCTTTTTATTTTCAGGTTCGAACCCGACCACTACCCTGTGCTCCAATGCAGCAGATGGAGAGAAATGTGGCAGCAGCATCAGGCTCACAGGTAGGAGAGTTTTTAAAGGGAAAACCACCAGCTGGGAATTACATGCCTTGGCATTTTGGGATTGGATGAAGGGATATGGGGCAGGGCGATTTTTTGAAACTATTGGTCTAGACTTTTGGTGTGAAACCACATTTGAAACTATTGGGTTAGACTTTTGGAAGGAAACCCTATTTGAAACTAATTGGCTGCTTCTAGGGTATCGGTTTCATTGTCACCGCACATTCCTGAGATTTTTCCTGGAACTGAGTACAGCCCGCAGTCACCAGGCAGTCTAAAATGGTGGCCCTTCCCCAAGATGGAGTCTGTAAAGTCAGTTCTAGGCCTTCATATTGCCTTCACAAACCTCTTTCATTTGCCTCTTAAGGGGTTTGATGAAGCCCTGAAGCTTTTCTCTGTGATGATATTGGAGCCTGAGCAATGGATGTCACCTGATGTCAGTCTTCTAGAGCAGGCAGATGCACTGATCACACAGTAGTTGTAAGTAGTCCGCACAGAAGTGGGTCAAGACTTGATTGTGCTTCCCATCGCTGGGCCTGGTCTCCTGCCTCTTGCTTTTGCTCTTGCTCTTCCTGCTATGGAGCTCCTGGGTAATCCCAACCATCCTTCCAATCTGGGCATTGCTTCTTGGAAGTTCCCCTCTTGGAACTGCTGTCAACAGACAGGACGGTAGAGCTTGCCTTGTGGATCTGCCCCTAAGTCCTTGATACAGGACTGACTGAAGTTGTGTGCACATTGGATGGTGACTTGGTCTGTCAGCTCATCCAGACACAAGGGGAATTTGTCCTCTGCCTGGAGACTTTCCAAGGTCACCACCAGTGCCATTTGGCTGGGAATGAAGCCCATCTGGACCCAGGTAGGCTTCTTTCTGAGGATTGTCTCTGGGTACTCAGCAGGAACAAACAGACTCAATTGCCCTATAGTTTTCACAGTTCCTCCTGGAAACAGCTGTGGTCCCACTGATGTCTCTTGTGTTTCCCTCAGTGATGGAAGCCTTGAGGCCTTTGAGATTTTAGACTCTAATTCCATTGTCAACAAGGTCCTTTGCATGGGCCCACAGCCAGTGACAGCTCAGGTGGACAGCTACTGTTCTGGACTCTGGCAACTCACAGTTGGGTTGAATAAAAATAAATTTCTTAAAAAAGTTTACTTTGGATGTTTACACTCAATGCCCAACTCCAGTCAAACTCAGAGCAGCATCACATGTCCCTGTCTGTTGTTCCCAAGCCTATAATGTGGAGCCATAATTCCTCTGCCTATTTGCCTGCCCCCACAGCAGGACTGGGGGAAGGAGAGAACCCCAAGGCAGACTGACAATAAACAAGGCAGAGCACAGACTTGATTAAATTTCTCTGTAACTCTTGATTCCCCTGCTTCCGCCTGCCAAGAGCTGAAATTAAATGGCTGGGATTACAGGAGTCCTGCTGGGGATCAATCCCAGGGCCACAAGCATGCTATGCAAGCACTCTACAAACCAAGCTCGGTCCCTGGCCCATAGTTGGTTTTGTTTTTTGTTGTTTTGTTTTGCTTAGTTTTAATTCTTGGTTTTCGTTTTTGTTTTCAAGACAGTGTCACTATGTAACTCCAGCTGTCTTGAAACTCGCTCTGTAGAAGGGGCTGGCCTCAAACTCACAGAGATCCACCTGCCTCTGCATCCCAAGTGCTGGGATTAAAGCATGAACCATTAGGCTCAGTTTGGATCTCAGTTTGCCGGAGTTTTGTACTGTAGCCAAGGATGACCCGGGACTCCCCATGAATACAGACAGCCCAGAATTGCATGAAATTTGAAGCAGTGCCCTTTGTTTCAGCCTCCTATGTGCTGGGATTAAATCCACATACTGCTGGGTGGGTCTTTTGTTTTAAGGATGCTAGAGATGAACCACTGAGCCTTGCTTGGGCTAAGCAGGAGTTACATCAAGGATCTAGTTGTATCCCAACCACCAGCCATACTTTGGATTCAGGTAAATAAGGATAATCTTGCCATAACCTTTCACCTTTCTTTTCTTTTTCTTAATAAAAAAATCTGCACACTAAATTTGATTTTCATTTTTCATGTTTGTTACTTTATAATTAAATGTGCCACAGAATACCTTATAAAGTAAAAACCCAGAAAAGAGATAACCCTTAATACACAAATAAAAATGAACCCCTGCATGGTTTGATGAGGCACATCTTTAATCTTAGGTAGAGATGGAGGCAAAGACATCCTACTCAAGGTCATCTTTAGAGACACAGCTGATTTTGAGGCCAGCCTAGAAACCCAATCTGAAAACTCAAACCTATTCATAAGGTAAAGATGCCAAGCCTGATGATCTGATTTCAGTCCCAGGGACCCACATTTTGTCCTGTGATTGACACACCCATATTATGATACATGTGTATACAGGCACACATACACATGCATGGAAAATAAATGTTAATAAAAATTGAAGAAACAGAACAAACTTTCATTGTTCTCTTATTCCGTCCCTCCCCTAGTTTGACCATCCCATTCCCTCAGGTTCTCATCCCCATCCTGTCCCCTCCACTACCCACCCATCCCTAGTTTACTCATGGAGATCTCCTCTGTTTCCCCTTCCCAAGGTGATCTGTATGTCCCTCTTAGGGTCCAGGGAGACATTATGGAGTAAGGGAAAAACCTGGTGCTAGGGAAATTCCCAGGAATCCACAAGTATGATCCCAAATTAGACTACTAGCAATAGTGGTGAGGGTGCCTGAACTGGCCTACCCTGGTAAGCAGATTGGTGAATACCCTAACTGTCATCATAGAGCCTTCATCCAGTATCTGGTGAAAGCAGATGCAGAAATCCACAACCAAGCACCAGGCCAAGCTCTGGGAGTCCAGGGCAAGAGAGAGAAGAGGGATTATATGATCAAGGGAGGTCATGGATGGGGAAATCTACAGAGACAACTGAACCAAGCTCATAGGAATTCACAAACATTGAACTGACAGCTGTGGAACCTGCATGGGACTGGATTAGACCCTCTGCATATGGGAGATAGTTATGTAGCTGGGTCTGTCTGAGTGGCCCCTGGCAGTGTGATCAGGATCCATCCTGGAACCTTAGCTGGTTTTCTGGTCCCCATTACCTATGGTCAGACACTTTGCTCAGCCTTGATGCAGCGGGGATGGGCTTGGTCCTGCCTCAACTGAATGTACCAGGCTTAGCAATCCCCCCATGGGAGAACTTACCCTTTTGGAAGAGGGGATGAAGGGTGAAGTGGTGGTGGTGGGGGGAGCGGGAGGAGGGATGAAAGGAGATTTGTGGTTGGTATGTAAAATGAATAAAAAAATTAAAAGAAAAAGGAAGAGAACAAACAAGCTTACAAAATTATTTTCTGTATTTACTGCTTTTCTTAATTTTTTTCCCCTTTAGACAGAGTCTTACTAACTCTTGAATATTTACCTAGAACTTGCTATATAGACCAGGTTGGCACTTGCTTCTCCAGTGTTGATATTAAAATGCATCTCAAAATGCTCAGTGTTAGTTTTTACTATTAAAATGCACTACCTAGATGATGTAACTTGGCAGAGAAAAAATGTAATGCTAATATCAGCTTTTTACTGAACTTGAGACCAACCTCAACTAGTTGAGACTTGTCCCCCCAAAACATAAACAGTTGTGTTTGTTGATGCACAAGTGTGATATCAGGACTCAGGAAGCAGGGGCAGAAGGAACTGAACAAGGTCAGCCTACTGTTTACATAGAGTTCTTCACCAGTTAGGCCTACATAAGGTGATTTTTGTCCCCAACACCAAAACAACAAAAGATGTCATAACTCATAAAAATGAATACCTACAAGTAGACTTGCAAGTGTATGCAATACTTAAGAAACCAAGCATGGAAAATAGGGTGCTTAAGATGTGGGGGAGGGGTAGAGCACTTGACCTAGCATTTACAAAGCTCTGGGTCCCATTGTAGCACCTCAGAAAAATATCTTCTATGAGATAGACTCATTCTATGTTGCCACTGATGCCCTGCCCCTTTCTATGTAGCCCAGGCTGGTCTAGATGCTTGGATTTCAGGCATGTGCCACCTAGAAATCTTCATATATTGTTTAAGAAAAATCTCCTAAAGAGTCTGGGAAAAGATTTCATAAACAAACAGAAGTACTAACAGCAGAATGTATTTATACTCCTCTTGCCTCAGGAGTTCAATCCAGCAGAACATAGGCTCTGTCAGCTCCTTTCTGTTCTCCCCCACTTCAGAGTTCCATTTAATTCAGTTCAGGTGACTCATCCATGTACTGGCTGGTTTTATGTCAACGTGACACAAGTCATCTGAGAGGAGGGTGCCTCAATTGAGAAAATGCCTCTATAGGATTAGGTTTCAGACAAGACTGCATGTGATTTTTAAATTAGTGATTGATAGGGAGGGCTTACCCCATTGTGGATGGTGCCATCCGTGGGCTGATAGTCCTGAGTGCTATAAGAAGCAGGCTGAGAAAGCCATGGGGAGCAAGCCAGTAAGCAGCACCCTCCATGGCCTGTGCATCACACTTCTCGCCTCAAACCCTGTTTGAGTTCCTGTCATGACTTCCTTCAATGATGGACTTATGTTATGGAAGTGTAAGCCAAAGAAATACTTTCTTACCCAATTGCTTTTGGTCATGGTGCTTATTACAGCCATAGGAACCCTAAGATAATCAGACACCCCCTTTTTGTTCAAACAAAACAAAACCATCTTTGGTGTCCAGATCTGTTTCTTCACTATCCAAATAGTAGGAGCATATCCCATCTCAGAGTCAGATTAAGCAGTCAGTTCAAGGCATGATTTCTGATAAGCCTTAGTTCAACATTTGTTGTTGCTTATTTCTTGACTCTTTTTGGGGGGCCCCACCACCCAGCTACCAAATAAATTCACACATGGAGACTTATTCCTACGTATGAATGTCCAGCCTTAGCTTGGCTTAGTTTCTTGCCAGCTTTCCTTAATTTAATTATCCCATCTACCTTTTGCCTCTGGGCTTTTCCCATTCTCTTACTTCTGTAAATCTTACTCTTACTCCATGGCTTGCTGGTTGTGTAGCTGGGTGGCTGGCCGGCCCCTGGTGTCCTTCCCTTCTCTGGCTCCTAGCTTTTTTCTCTCCTCCGAAATTTCTCCCTCTATATATTCTTTCTGCCTGCCAGCCTTTCGTATCCTTTCCTTGCCTTGCTATTGGACAGTTCTTTATTAGACGATCAAGTGTTATACACAGGCATAGTAACACAGCTTCACAGAATTAAACAAATGCAACATAAACAAAAGTAACACACCTTAAAATAATATTCTACAACAAACATTTCTTGTCCTGGCATGGTCACACAGGCCTGAAATGTCAATACTTTGTAGGCTGAGACAGGAAGATCATGAGCTTGAACTCAGCTTGGCTATATGGCAAAAGAGTCTCGAGAATAAATGGATAAATGCATATTAGCTGGATCTGCTTTTTGGTGAGTTAGTTTTTTGATATTCCATGGGTTGTGTGACCTTGAACAAGCTACTAGCCTCTATAGGCCTTAGCCTGCTCTTTGTAGACTACTAGAGCAGTTACACTCGGGAAAATGAAGAATTGAGAGTATTCAGGTACTGTGGACATTAGCACCATATCAAGACTCTGATCCCACCTCTGTCTCTCTTACTTGCTTTGAACAGAAACCAAGCCTCAGTGTAACATCCTGGAAGAGGGCTCCAGCCTCACTTCACATCATTTCCGAGTGCTGAACCCAAATAGTCAATAATCCTCTGACTCCTGAGGATATTTTAAGCAAGCATTGAGATACCAAAAGCCACGATAAATGAGTAAAATTCAAAAGGTTGGAACTGTTCAAATTCCCTGGAGAGGCATATCTCTTCTGTGACACAGAGAAGCCTTGGGAAACCCCAAATCTTATTTCACCCAGGCTCCACCTCCCATGTCACCCCAGAATTCCTGCTTACATTGAGTAATTGGTCCTGAGCCTTGGACTTTCAACACACATTCATATAAAAGATGCCCAAGTAGAGAGGACCCCACCAAGACCAGAACTTTCTGGGAGTGGGAAGGGGTGAGGTGCAGGGAAGAGAGATGCTAGGGGTGAGTTTTCTTCTGTGAATTCTTGTAGCCCAGGCTAGCCTAGATGTTGTGTTCTCCCTGTTTCAACTCCTAGGATTACAAGCATGTTATACACACAATGCTGGGAATCAAGCTGTGGGCTTCTTATATGTACATGCCCCTAGGAAAGCCCTTTAGCAAACAAGCTACATCCTACATCCCTACTCCCCTTTAAGAAATGTAAGTGTTGTATGCCTTTAATCTCAGCACTCAGGAGGCACCAGCAGATGGACCCCTGAGTTCTAGGATAGCCAGTTTATACAGTGAGTTCCAGTACATCAGGGCTGCACAGCAAAATTCTGTCTCAAAAAAGAAAGAAAGGAAAGAAGGAAAACAGAAAGACTTAAGTGCTAAAGCCAAGCATGGTGGTCTACACCTTCAATCCCAACCCTCAGGAGGGAGGAATAGACAGACAGATCTCTATGTGGTCAAGGCTTCAGGCCATCCAGAGCTACATAGTGAGACCATCTCCCCAAATAAACAGGAAATGTAAGTGACAATAGTAAATCAGTATTTAGAAGTTACTTTTGTAGAGGTCACTGAATCTTCCCTTGAGTGCACTAGGTATGTAAACGAAGGAAAAAGGCTGCCTGTAGCTAGAGTTTTCCTGCCTTGCCCCCAGTCAGGACAAATCTTTGTCACCCGCCAGTCCCACAGCCACTCAGACCCAACCAAGTAAACACAGAGACTTATCTTGCTTACAAACTGTATGGCCGTGGCAGGCTTCTTACTAACTGTTCTTATAGCTTAAATTAATCCATTTCCATAAATCTATACCTTGCCACGTGGCTCATGGCTTACCGGCATCTACACATTCTGCTTGTCCTGGCAGCAGCTAGCAGTGACTCTTTCTGCCTTCCTGTTCTTTCTTTTCTCCTCTCTGTTA